TTGAGAAATGATGTACAAATGCGCTTTACACAATTGATGTGTGTATGGATTGGGATAACAGTTGTATGAGCCCCTAATAAAATGTTAAAAAAGAATTTTAAAAAAATTTAAAAAAAATTAAAAAAAAGCTTAAGAAAATATCCCAGCCCGGTACCGATCATTTCCATAAGTCTGATATTAGTCCATATGTCTGATACCAATCAGTAAAGTCCTCTTCAGACTCATGAAACACATGCAACGATGCTGAGTGCAGGAAGATCACAGGCTAGTGGGTGGGAAGTCTTGTGGATCCAGTGGCATTGTAGGCATCTCAATGCTGGCAGGGGGTCTCCACATGGCTCCTCCAACTTAGGGCACTAGTGTAGTTCCATGTGTCCTGACAGCTACAGTGTGTCCCAGAGAGTCAGGGTGTATCCCACCTCAAGCGAGCTATTTATCTCCTTAGCGCCTCCAGATGAGGTCATCAAGCTGTGACCTGATTGACAGGCTAAACTCCACCCCTTCACTGTTAATACTCTCAAATTGACAACAGATTATGTATCTCTCTCTCTCTCTCCTATACCCACTTAGAGAGATGTGTGTCCTCAGGTGAAAGACAGGGATTCTGTCTTCCTTCCTTCTCTCTGAACCCAGATACAAAGATTCTCCAATCTCACAGCTGGCTGTGGTACTTAATAAATGAGTGAATGATTACATAAGTTCTGGTTTTTTAAAAACGATTCTGTTGTATGCAGAGCAAATTAGACTCTGATGTGATATGTTCCATATGTAGCATGTAGTGGGGCACTGATGGCATTCCTTGAGGTGTGCGACCATTCTCAGCCTCCTTTTGTGAGTTGTTCCTCCCTTATCCACACAAACTACTCAATGTCCCCCAAGGTTCCTATCTAATGTTTTACGTTGTCTTCAATTTGATCTCATTTAGATCTTTAAAGAGCAGAATGCTCAAAGCAAATCTTTTATTTTCCTCACTAGTTAAGCTAAATATTTGTTTGGTTTAAAGAAGACTTCAGGGCATATTTTTGAGGTAGGTTTCAAAATTACCTCTGGACAGTCATTTCAGGGTTTCATCCACTCTTCATGGCCCCATAAAGTCTAGAACCCACAAGAATTTGAAATTTGATTCTGCATTTTCCTGTTTTGATCAGGATTTTCCTACGGAATCTTTGACAAAAATGTTCATCTGGGCAAAGGTGGCAGTTATACACGGAGGAAATTAGCTACAAGTTCCATCAAAAGCCCCAAACCACATTCACTGCCATCCGGTCGATTCTGACTCATAGTGACCCTATAGGAAAGTAGAACTGCCCCTGTGGGGTTCTGAGACTAACTCCTTATCGGAGTAGAAAGCCTCATCTGTCCACCACTGATGATACTTTCAAACTACCAACCTTGCAACGGCTAGCAGCCCCGCAAGTAGCCGCAGTTCCTTACACATTCCATCCCCCTCCTCTCATTCCTGACTCCTTTCTCCGTGGTGTCTGGTAAAGAGAGATCAATTGTGCCTTGGATGGTTGCTTGCAAGCTTTTCAGACCCCAGGTACTACTCACCGCCGCCCTAGTAAGTAGAAGCACTGAACACGTTAGGCTAATTAACCGGGGTATCCCACGAAACATGGATCCTAAATGTCCAAACTAAGGAAATAAAATCCATGAGTTCATGTATACCTGAGCAATCTCAGTAGTTAGTCTTCCTTTGGCCATTGTCAATAAACCCCTACAACTTTTGCCAGTTCGACTTTTTACAGGTGTACTACTTGACAAAATTACAAAAATCAGCTGTGCAGCCCTCCACTTAATTCAATTTCCCCCAAACCCTTTCCCTCCGACCCTTAACCAGAAAACCAAGCCCACTGTCACTGAATTATTCCAACTCCTATTGACCCTACAGGACAAAGAAAAGTTCCCTAGACTTTTTGAGACTGTAAATATTTATGAGAGCAGACAGCCTCATCTTTCTCCCATGAACATACTGCTGGGTTTTGAACTGCTGCTGTTGCGCTCCAATGCTGATTCTACAGAACCAGTGGGGCTCTTTCTCCTGCCCCTGGTGACCACCAATAAATAATATTCATGATTTATCCATGGCCCTTTTCTTGCCTTTCTATATGGGTGAGGCCAGACAGTGTTTGTCCTTTTGTGATTGACCTCACCAAGCATAATGTCTTCAAGCTCCATTCCAACAGTAGCGTGTACTGAGATTTCATTAATATTCCATTGTATGTATGTACCACCTTTTGTTTATCCATTCATCTGTTGATTGTTTCCACCTTTTGGCTAAACGGTGCACAGTGCTGCAATTAACATGGGTGTACAATTCTCTTTTTGAGCCCCTGCTTCCGAGTCTTTGGGGGCATATAGGAGAATTGCTGGGTCTAAGGAGCTCTGGCGGTGGTGAAGCTGTAAGCTATTCATTGGGCTGCTGCCAGGTTGATGGTTCAAACCCAGTCTTTCCTTGGGAAAAACCTGAATCTATCTGTTCCCCGAAGCAAGGGTTTACAGTCACAGAAGTCTTATATAGGGTCACTAAGAGTCAGAATAGACTTGATGGAAGTCGGTTAGTTTGTGTGGGTGTTTTGGTGTGTTCACGAGTCTTAGTTTATTTTTTGAGGACCCGCCACACTTTTCCACAGCGCCGGTAGGTTCCAATTTCTCCACCTCCTCGCCAACCGCTGTCATTTTAATTTTATTTTTCGTACCTTCACTATCCTAGTGGAAGCGTAAGGGTATCTGTCTCATGGTGGTTTCTATTTCCATCCTCTCTGGAGGCTAAGGACGCTGAACACCCTCTCACGAGTTTGGTGGCCATTTGGGTGTTCTCTTCGGTGAAATGCAGGTAACCGTTTCGAAAGCGCCCCAAGCGGGCGAGCCAATTGGAAGCGAAGGGCGGGGCCGGGATGGTCGCGGGCAGAGGGCGTGCCTGGCCGGGTTGGGTCGCTCCAGAGCATGCGCAGTCCTCCCAGAAGGTGACGGGAGGAATTGCGGAGGCAGCCGCGGAGCAGGGGCCGGTTCCAATTGGCTAGTGTCGGGGCGCGAGGGACCGTGCCTGCTCGTCGCCAAG